TAGTTAGTTGCTATGAAGTCATCCCCATTGAAGTGAACTTACTAGAATACAGGGAAATTTTTCGATTCTCGAATGCAAGCTTTAGATTTGCCATGGTGAACTTTGTTGAGTTGGAAACAAGCAAAAATGGGCCGAAATGAAAACAAAATCAAAACCAATAATTCCATGCAAAGCAGCAAATAACTTTCATTGACTGTAATAAAGGAAAAAAAAATTGAAAATACAAATAGTAAATACTTATTGGTTAACAATACATAAATACATACGTATTGTATATAGTATATGTGTACGTACATATGTATGTATTTATTTATAATGTAGTGCAACATTTTTGCATTTTTCTTTTAGTGGAAGTACAAAGCAAAAATCATTGAAACCAAAACCCACCAATACTAACGAATGTCTACAAAACATTAAGCTAATGCATGAAAATCCTTTGAGGATTGCATTATTTTCACATTGTATTGTATTTTGAGATACATTCATAAGTGCAGACAAGCGTTGAGGGGGCAACACTCATACAAAAGCACATACACAAACGCGCGCACATGAATATTTAGTTACATCTCAATGGGGTTGCGTGCATTCAAAGGCGAAACGTATATTTCATTCGTTTGCGAATTTGTGACACCGAACCGCAAAAACTAAACCAAAGCCAGCACAAGTGGGAAAAGTGTGTTATGCCAGAGAATTGGAACGTAGCGAAAGCGGTGGCAGGCAAAGGTAAAAGGCGAGATTCAACAAATACCCGTTGAGCCGAAACCAAGTCGCGTTTTTGCGAAGCCTACCAAATGTACATATGTACTACATACATGTGTATGGATATAAGTATGTGCGTGCATGTGTGCCCAAGGGGATACCAATAGGCCACAGAGCCAGCAATGGCAACAGCAAAAGCAACAGAGGTAGAATGAAGCACACCGATAGGATAGGCACACTCATTCTCACACTCACACTTTCGAAATTCGTTTTGGGTCGTCGAAAGGCAAGCGGACCGTCTCACATATTGCTAGCGACTCCATTTGGATCATTAATGCTAGCGACGATGTCTCTTTTGATTCGGCACAGAGCCGGCGCACTGCACGCAATCGATTACCGAAAAGGATTCAACATTCCGCAACACAGCTACACTCGCGCTTGTTGCGATGAAGATAACTACAACAGTGAAAAATGAAACAACAACAACAACATTGCAGGCCAGTAGTATACAAATAGTGTCGGCTGGCAGCCAACCGTTGAGGCTGTTGGAAACGACGTCGAAAACCGATGTTGAAAGCTGCCTTCAACGGTTGTGTGTTGCAATGCAACGCCTGTTTCAGTTTCATGTCGATGAAATTGTGAAACAGTGAAATACACTGTTGAGCAACGTTATGCACGAACAGCAGATGCTTTGGCGGTTGGTCTTATTTAAGGAAAGCACTGAAAGCCTTTCGAAGTTGAGCAAAAGAGAGAGTGTGAGCACAACGGAATACAAGTGAGAGTGAGAGCGAAAATTCGTAAATATTTAATGAGAGTAGGCAGTGGTAAAGGGAGACGGAGAAAGAGCGATGAGCCAGAGAGTGCTGCGGCAGGAGCGACTGTGAACATAAATACCTACACCGACAGCGGCATGTGTTTTTGATTCGAATGGCTGAAAGATTGAGAACGTAATGTTAAGGCTACTGGCGAGTTGGAAACTACTATCGAATTTCGAAGAATTTACAAAAAAGTACACTATGGAAGGATTAATGTATTTGGCAAGGCCTCTATTTGACTGAATTAAAATTCTCGTTATACATTTCAAATATTTTTCAGTTGGTTCCGAATAGCCATTTTGAAATTCGAAAACCGTTAAACTGAACAAACGTGTTGCTAGCTATACCTAAGCAAAACGCCATACGCAATATTCGTTAGTAGCGGCGGTAGTCGTTTTTCGTATGTTATCTAGCAGTTCTCAACTAGTTAGTACTTGAAATATCGCTCGTAGCAAGCCGAAGTAGTATATTGCGTCGTCGGCGTCGCTGTCAGCGCCGCCACAGCTGACGACGAGCGCACAATTCGAAGCTTGACTGGCTGATTGCTGCCTGGCTGGCTAACTGTTGGCCGTTTTATGTTGAAACCCTGCGTGTGTGTGTTTTGACTTGGCTGTGACGATTTTGCAATTTTGGCCAATGCATTGCGTTTCAGTAAGAAAAGCGTCGCCTAACGGTTTAGTACGTACGCTTTGCGTTTTTAGTTGGGGTATTTTTGCGGTTTGTTCGTGCGTTCGTAGTTATCACTTTGGTATCAAAGAAAATAATAATAACGAAAGTAGTTATTAAAAAACGTATGGAAACAACTACAAACAAAAAATATATAATTTGGTAGAAACAAATGATAAAGAAAGAGCGCGAAAATGTTCACTTGTTTGAAGTTAGTTGGCAATTATGATTTTTTTTTTTGTTTCACTATTGTTTGACTAACGCTTTTTCTAGAATTTTATAACGCTCGTTTGCATTCTAATGATCATTAAAACATTGAACTGAAGATTATACTCAGTTGAAAAAAAATGCGTTAGTTGAAAGTTGTGCAAAGAGGCGAATAGATGCTAAATAATAGAGACTTTACTTTAGAGATAAATCACTTGTTAAAATTTATTTTTTTTTATATTTGCAGCAATTATTTTTTTATTTTAATAATTTTGGTACAAGTGGATTTGGCTCCAACTCGAGTTTAATTCAAAGTTTGGTATAGATTACAGAAACTACATTTTAAAGTTTTCAAATACATCACAAATATATTTTTTTTTATATTCTTTTTCTATAACAAATGAAGACGAAATTAATTTATAATAAAAAAATTTGCTAATTGCTAACATTTTAAACACAATATGTCATAAGCTATACACAAATTAGAAAAGAATAAAATAAATACAAATAGTACTACAATAATTTATTAGAAGTAGCTTTAAAATTCATGAAATGGTATCAAAGCCATTTTGTAATTTAAAAATGCTTTCTATCACTGGAAAATATAAAATGTTTAAATTTTAATATATACACTCCTAACATAAAAATTAAAATTACTAAATTAATTTCTTATATGTTTTCTTTTTCAATATAAATATTTATGCAATACGATTTATTTTGGAACGAATTTCCGTCATCCCTTGTCAAGTTTGGTTTGCAGATGCAATAGTTCATGAAATTAAGAAAAAATAATAACTTTCATTGTTTGAAAAAAAAATTACTCTTTGAGTTGAATTTTTTCCAAACACATTAATATAATCGATTTTGTCAATTAAAAATCAAAGAAAACTAATGTAAAGAATAAATATTTTTTTTGAAGGAAATTATTATATTTTTGTTTTGTATTTTTTCTTTTATTATGTCAAAATAGGAAAAATTCTAATTTAAATTGAAAAAAATGTTTACACACCTGCCAGTAATAATGTCTTAATGTCAAATTGTGTTTGCGAAATACATTTTTTTTAATGAAATAAGAACAGAAGTATTAACAATTTTCATACCTGCCTTAGGTATAGAAATTCTCAAATTCTTAAAATTGTCTGCTAGAAAATAATCTATTTTTTTTAAGTTATTAATTTTAAAAATTAAACAAAAGAAATTGCACTATCTTTATTTTGATTTCCTAACTCAATTTTACCCATACAGCCATGCCCATACAGCATTATGGTGTTGGTGAAAAATTATTTGAATTATTTTATTTAATTTGTGTCAATTTCCATACTAAATAAAAAGAACTAAGATAATTTTTCATCTAAATTGCTTTCATGAAATTAGCTTAATAAATATTAAACTTTTAATCTTCCTGTTATTCTTTAAAAAATTGTCTTCCACTGTGAAAGTGAGAATTTTTTTAATGCCATAAAATAAATTTTAAGTCCAAAAAAAATTTATAAAATCTTAAATACAAGGAAATTAATGATAAAGTCATAATAGCTGCTCTAAAAGTACTGAAAACTCTCTTTAAGTAGTTAGTTAGTACACTTTTGCAAAGCTTTTTTTTTCACATATTCTCATAAATTTTAATCCAACGAGCTGGTATGGTGTTTCCATAATTTTTATAATAGATAAAACTGCAACTAAAAAAAACATTAGTTAAAGAGTTTCACTTTTTAAATTTTGGTTTAATTAAATTGTTCATGTTCATCAAAAATCAAATTTTAATAATTCTCTCTGTTGAAAAGAATTTTATGTTGCTATTTAAAAATAGCATCTAAAAATATATAAATTCCGGCAATTTTTTAATACTTTTTCTTTGTGCAAAATGTACATATTTATTATTTTTTTATGATTCTTAGAAAATATGCTGCGGTAATAATTTAATTTATTTTTATTTTTGTTTTTATTTCAATAAAAAAAGTTTGTTTGACCTACTTGACTGTTTTTATTACTTGCTTGACATCTAAAAAAAAGTGATCTTAATTTCCTTATCCTCTAATATTATATTAAAACTGTTTTTATTAAACAACTTTTTTCTTTTTTGTTCAAAGGATTTAGTGTTTCGTACCTTACAATCAAAAAAGCTTGTTACCTAACCAAGCTTATTTGAAGCCTTTTACTTTCCTTAGTTTCACGCATCCTCTCCTTAAACTTTTTTCAAATTTTAGAAAATTCAATTATTTGAAAACTTTGCCGACTAATAACTTTAAGCTTATTAAGCTCCTTCTCTATATATTTTATGATTTATTTATCTTTATGTGTGTTTGCACAGCAAAACCAAAATCCTCTGAGTTAAAGTAGCAAAAAGGCAAGCTAAATAGAATCAGAGCAAAGCCTATAAAACTTAGTTGTATTCATAAAAGCCGCCACTTGAACTTGCGGTGCAAAGGGCGTCAAAGTAAAACGCGTTTTCCCGGAATTTACTTTAATGCGCGCCAAGTGCAGACAGTGATTAGTGACAGCTGATGCCAGTGCTGGTGATGTGGTGCTAGACGTGGTTGTAAAAAAAAATTGCACACGTACACGGCGCGTTGGCGCGTTTTAATTTTTACCGGTGTTTTTTTTAGCCTAGTAAAGCAGAAAGTTTTATTAAATTTATTCTATAAGTGAGTAAAAAATTTAATTTAGAAAAAACTCCTTCAAACTCACATATACACCAAAAAAATAGATGTACTAATTCCATACGCTCAAACAAATACATACGCAGTACTAGACGGACGCTGGTGCGTATACTTAATATTATTGAGTTACGGCTTCCTTCCGGTTGAATGACCATATAAAACGTTGCAATGTTGTTGCCCTCGTTGCATATACTATAGAATTATACACTTTAAGAATGCGTATATATGTATGTGTGCTCGACATACTGCGAGAAAGTGAGTGAAGAAAATAAGCGAAAAAGCGTAGGAAAGCAGATAGAGTGCAAAAGGCAGCAAGCAGCAAGCAACCTAGAAAATACGTCGGTAAAGCAAACACACACACACACGCAAACACATCTAGCCACATAGAATGATGGTCTACATACTTTTCAGTATATGTATCCAACAAAATCGAGCAAACGAGTGCAACTAGCAAACGGATTCTGTGTATGCAACGCTCTTTGCAAATCGAGATACATACCAGCCAGCTAGCTTTCCAGCCAGTGAGGCAGCCACCAATTGAAAACTGAAAGAAAAGTGAAAATTCTGTTGTAGGAGAATTTTGTGCGAATGTAAAACAGGTCGAGAGAAAAAAAAACAAAAACAAAGAGCATATATTGGTAAAATTGTCATTATAAATCTAATGCCACAGACACTTTGCAAACGAAAATTCCGGCAAAAAAAACGTAGCCAAGTAAAGAAAGGTATGGAGTAGTGAGACAGTTAGAGCAGCAGCAAAAGCAGCAGACGACAGCAGATTTTACGCTCAAAGTGCTATAAATTAACGTACGACGACCTTTACAGAAGTTCAGACACAACCAAAAACAAAGGCCAGTGCAAACGCCCGCGCAAAGTAAGCAAATGGGTGGTGAGACAGCAGTGAAGTGAAGACAATTTTTAGAGATACATTCACCTTACAAGCAGTGCAGATGCCGTCGTTGTAGACGTCGCCGCCGTTTGTTGACACTCTTACTAAAGATAAATCAATAAGTACAAAAGTACAAGTGCAACAGACACATAAGCACACCCGCACATTGTGCAAACACATACACACATTCGATAGTACTTAGTTAGTACATATAAATAGATTCACACATGCACTCAGAATGCTACTAAAGTGTTAAATATAAAAGTGTTTGCAGCATTTGAATTGCTTTTAAAATAGACGTCCAGGCGCGCGCCCTGCCAGCAAGCCAAAGGCTAACCCGTCAACCAGCCCGTCAGCCAATCGGTGGCTTTTATCTCCGCACCAGCTACAACAACTATCATCGGCAACGGCGGCCGCCGCCAGCCACTGTGTGCGCTTAGTCACCGCTAGCAGCCAACCATAATCCGCAAACACTCCTCATCTCCAGCAGTGCAGCGCAGCACAGCACAGCTCTCGAGTAGCAGTTTTTTTTTCGCAAACCGGCAAAATTCATTCACAAATTATGCTGGCCATGTCAACACTGATGATGCCTGCACCCACCATAGCGATGGGGGCGCCGCAGATCACTATGGCTCCACATAAGCCACCGGAAACAAAATTGCTCGCCATACATCCGGCAGCTGTTGCTGCAAGTGGCGGTGGCGGCGGCAGCGGTGGCCAGCCAACGCATCTGCAACACAACGGTCAACATCCGCAGTCACAGCAGCAGCCGCCGCCAAATCAGCAGCAACAGCAATCCCAACAGACGCAACAGCAGCAAATCTCAGCCGGCAACAACAAACCAGGTGAGTGAACGACTGAATGGTTTGTTTAAAAATTGTTTGAGTGTGTAGACCGCTGGTTGCTTTAGCTCCTCCATTGCCGGCGTATGCAAAACAAAATTAAATTTTTTTATCTCTGTTTTTGTTTTGAAAATATGTGGGTCTACACTTGAAGCAGCTGATGCCAATGGCGATGTCAGTGGCGGTGACGAGAAAATCTTCGCCACAGCCATCGGCAGCAGTGTCTTTTCTATTTCTCGTCGTCGTCGAAAGTTTATTGGTGTCTTTGCTGTTGACTTTTTTTAGCTCACACTTGCATAGCCAGTAGACTCAAAGCTGAGTAGACTTTATGTTGTGTAAAAGGTTGCCAACATTTTCTAAGAAATTCATAGTACTTTTTCAAAATATCTGAAAACATATAGTACACTTCAAATAAATATATTTTTATATTTAAATGAAAAAATTAAAACGCTCTTTAAGTGTATATCTTAGTTCTTTCTTATGCATTTCCTTTTTATATTTCTTTGAACGTATCATATGCTTTAATGCAATCAATAAATTAATATAAATCAAAAGTGCATTTTTGTTAGTGAGGTAGTCGCTTTGTTTCTCTCATCTCGCTATTTGACATTTATAATAAAAAAAAACTCTTTATGTGAATGCCCAAGTTGCAGGCATAGAGAGCAGGAACGAAATAATTTTAAGTAAATTTGGTAATTCATTCTAAGTATTTTTAAAATTGTTGCAATTTTGGATCTGTGGTTCTGTTAATAAACTCAGTATGACCTTTTATTTTAAAGAACATTTCTTTCAATATTTTTACTACAGGCTAAAGCTCTCCATTTTAGTGTACATTTTTTCTTGCAAATTACTGAAATATATTAATATTTATAATTAAAGAAATATAGTATTATTGCATACTATATTTTTTCCAACAATATATAGTACGCAGTCCGAAAAAATAGTACAATACTATATATAATATATAGTACGGTTGGCAACCCTAGCTCTGTAGCGCAATATACGGGTCGGTCAAAATCTATTGCAGAAGTACTATTTAGGGTTTGTTATGCAAGATTCTCTTTACTTTTGATTTTGCCCTGAAGGTTATTGTCTGCAGCTGCTAGCCTTTTTGTATTTTAACTCAAATGGGTCTGCATATACTTGTGCACATAATACGTACAATTTTTGTATGTATATGCCTTTGTCTGCTGACTTTTTATTGTAAAATTATTTCAGCAGACTTCTAAGGCCATTGCTGCATTATAGACTTTTCTATTCATTTATGTCTACACACACACATATGCACTTACTTATGCCAATTTTGCATTTGCTGCAATAAATTTAATAAATTATTTCTTTCTATGGCATAATGTGTCAAGTTATCGAGATAAGCTATGATAAATGCATGCGGAGTGCGGATTTCGTTAAGGAAATATGTGCACTAAATTTGGTTGCATTTCATTAGTTCCAAAAATATGGGTCTCCGCCATGAGTCTCCGGAAGTTACAAAAATTTTAAGACTTCATCATTGTACCATTATTCAAAGGCCCTTTTACCTTTATTACAAAGCAGGGAACGCTTAGTATATATTGCGTTAACGTATAATTTTTGCAACGCTTAGAGTTTTGTGAATGTGTAGACTCAAGGCACACAATGGGATGAGAGTGCCCAAAAATAATAAATACTAATTAGCTAATTCTAGAAAAGTAATTATGCAGATTTATTGAAAATATCCAACTAAGAAAAATTTGATTTTTTTTATAGAAATCTATACTTGCAATCACGGAACTAGTTTAAAAGGGAAGAAATGCAAAAAATTAATTAGTTGGATTTTATTTTATTTTATTGATTTCTAAACTGATGTTTCTGATTGCTAAACAGTTTTCTAACATATCTGTGGTCATGCAGTGCTTTATGTTTAATCCATTACCACTAAACCTTAACTACAGTTTATGCCTATTCGAAAACGAAGGTAATAAGTAACGAAGGTTAAAAAGCAAAAAGTAAGAAATAAACCTTTGGAAATGGACTATTACACTTTTATACACCTTCAGAAATTCATAAGACAGTTTCACTTTAAAGTCGGTATAATGTAGTGGAAAAAATTTTGTGAAGTGTTAACTTTAGAAAACAATATTTA